GAGCTGGCTGGTTCATGCCAGGCGTGGTCCACAGTAAATGCCCCAAAAGGCATTTAATTATTTGATACTCACAAATATGCAAAGAGGCACTTATTCCTGTTGCAAACGTGCTGTTGGGCTTTGGCACAAGGACTGCTCTCTGGAGGAAAGGACCAGGCTGGTGAGGGGAGGCAGGGTCAACCCAATGGTACACGGAGCTGGGCTGGAACTGGCAAAGGCCACGGGGCCAGGGCAAGAGGTGCCTGGGCAGGGGGAGAGAGGGCTCAGAGCTCGTCTCGGCCTCAAGACTGGGCTCTGCGGTGGTGTGGCAGTTACTGGTTAACTGCAAAGGTCTGACAGAGGGCAAAGTGTAAGGGAGAGGGTGTGTGGGCTAGCAGCAATAACGGTAAGCAAATCTTGGGGGAAGGTAAATAGTGATATTTCCACCCCAGAGCCTGTCCCTGCGCACCGCAGGACCGTGCTGGGTGCTCAGATCCAGTGCCAGCCTCTAAAACCGGGAGCTCAGACACGCTGCGCAGAGGGCACCTCTGCGGGTGCGTTATCGCTCCGCACGCCCTCCCGGCCGGACCAAGGAGAGCCGGCCCCTTCCCCAGCGAAACAGGGAACGGCTCTGTTTGCTGACCGAGTCCCGCGGGGCCAGCTGGCCGCCGGCGGGCTGTTTGGCCTCCCTGCAATGAAGCATGTGCTCAGCATCACAAGACGCACACCACAGCCCTCCCAGAGCTGGAGCTCGCTGCCTGCTCCCGCAGTGTGGCCCGGTGCCATGGCCATGGCTGTGGCTGTGGCTGTGGCCGTGGCGTGCGTGCTGGCTCCAGGCAGTCCAGCTCTGAGCATTGCCCTTGGCAAGGGCACAACTAGCCTGGGTACGCGAGGAAAAATCCCTGGGAGCTTTGGGGTTGGACGTGTCCCTGCTGCCCTGTCCCTCCCAGGTGGCACTGAGCTGGCTCCCTCCCGCCGTGCCCTCTTGCAGGACCCGGCATCTCCAGCTACGCAGACGACCCGGCTGGGGCTGGAGG